ACTCGATCCGGACACTATGCCTCGAGACCACGCACCCCCTGACTATACAGGTTAGAACAAAATAAAGGAATAAACTGCACGCCATATGTGACTCACATATTGTCGCGCGCCCACGTGGGTAAATACACTGATATAGTGAGGGTGTGGGTTTGAACCTTAACAATGCCCACCCACGTGAGAAACTGGACTATTATCTAAGCTATGTTGATCCTAGACAGTCCTGGATAGCCAAGAAAACAGCGAGTGGCTCGTTCATGAAATGAAAGTTGCTGTACTTGTATCCCCAGGAGTAGGAGAAGGGATAGATAGAGATCAAGATGAACCCACTGAGATAATATCAGGATACTCAGTTAACCCCTCCGACTGTTCTCCTCTCCTGGCATTACTTAAAAGCCCCCATCAAGTGATTTAAATATTTGTTAGCTGAAGTAAACTAATATGCACAAAGACACTTGAACCTAAGTACACAATTTACTCAACTATGGTTTAACAAAATCAACCATGATTTATTTGAATAAATCGAAATTAAAATGAACTTGTTTAGGCTAGTAGAGTTGGAATGATGTGGATGATGAAATCATAAAGGTATTGGAAAGTAACAACCTTTGGACAGTTCTCGGCTTGAGACCCTGCCAATCTTTTCCAGTTTGTCGTCCTCACTGCTTTCTGCAGGTCGTTACACTCGACGATCGGCAAATAATGGATGCCTACTAGTCCCTGCCCAATGTGGGAACTGGAAAAATGAAACCACGATGCCAAAAGTTCTGTCTCAAGCTTAGGTTAAGCCCAACAGATGGCATGTGCTGGACAGGATCTTCTTTACCAGACCTAGAGTTCAGCCCTTTATAACTTTTATCAAGCTCCTCCTACATTACGCCTAAAATCATTCTCATTCAAGGATATCACAGCTCCTCCCTGTGGGTAAGTTTATTCGCTGTCAGTCAGGGCTCGACAACACTTGTTCAAATTCCCACGCTAGGATCTCCTGGTCAATTCATCTGACCAGAGCAAATAAGACAAGTCACACCTCTAGTCTACTTCACCTGTCATCACAATAAAATCCGACTTTGTCAATTCTTCTGCCAACACTTTCCGCTCACTGTGTCAATAGTGACCGTCGGACCTGCCGTCGAGTTAGGTAACCTCAGGGGGAATTAAACACAATTAGCCGGAGTTAGCTGCTCCTAAAAGTCTGGCTAGGAGATAAAATATCTGACACCAACAGATGGTGTGCAAATCTCCAGTCAGTAAGTCTGCTTGGTCAGTCTTATCTCTGTACCTTAACACTTAACATCTGGGAAAAAGTTGTAGTGTTTGATATGACCAACGGTCCAGGAGAATTAAAGGTGTGATGTGGTCATCCTATTTAGATTAAGGATGTATCCAAATCCCTATTTGTCTGTATACTTCAAAATACACACAAATAAAAGTAGGTTGAGGAAAGACATTCTGGAGTCACCGAGCGTATTGTCACACATATACTGGCACAATATGGCAATAAACATATGAATGAATGGATGAATGAAACATACGCTGACAGAACTGTTAGAAAGTTGGGTACCCATCACCATCATGTAGCAGGTCCTTTGCAGAACGTCGCTCTCATCACAGTCTGTCTGAAAGAAACTCGGTCTCTCGCCAGTTCTCCCGCCTCATGCACTTTCACACTCAACGAGTCAATTATATTCTGTGCCCATCTTCGTGTCGGTCGGCCCCTGCCCCTCCTTCCTGGCACCATGCCTTCTGCTATAATTTTTTCCAATCCCTCGTGGCGGTTGATATGACCAAAATATTTCAGCTTTTGGGAAAGGATGCTGTTTATTAGCCAATCTTCCTTGATGTTCAAATCTTTTAAGATGTCAATATTTCTCATCTTCTTTGTCAAAGATTTTCTGAGAATCTTTCTATAGCATTTCAGCTCAAAAGCCCCTATTCTCTTTCTTAAGGACTGAGAGATAGTCCACGACTCACACCCGTATGTAGCCACAGGGAAGATGCATGCTCTCAAAATTCTAATTTTTATCTCCTTGCTGGTGCCTAACCATAGACTTTTAAAGCTGTTCAATCTTTGCATTGCTATGGCCATCCTCCTTTTAATTTCTGTCAAACAGTCTCCATAGTTGGGTACCTATTTAGAAGATATGGGTTCGAATTCTTGGTAAGAAAGTAAATTATAGGACCCTTTTCCACGCCTTTAGGCATATAGGGCATATAGGGCTAGACCTATATTTTTATAGACCAATCGGCACAAGATGGGTGATGTGGTCAGCATCACGCCGGCCGCCTTTACTTCCCGGGACTGCACCCGGTACCCACTCAAGGCTGACTCGACCTGGGAGCCAAGGTCATTTTTGAGAATAGTCCGGCTCCGCCATGGAGGGAACCCACGACCTTCTGATCCTCGGCGAGCGTCTAGCCGCTCGGCCACGGCGACTCCCCGAATTCTTGGTAACGTAACATAATAGGTTTTGCCTTTCGGGGTGGGAAAAAAGGGGAGGGGGGGGGAGTAGGACGAAAAAGCAGAGTCTGTGACATCTGTATTACTTGTGACTTGTTGTCACTGTCGCCATCCTAGCACATGGGTCCGACCCATGCGTGCTCCGTTCTCTGATACAGCAGTCATCTCAATGTTTCTATGCTCAGTGTACCCAAAGTTGAGTGGAGTCAAGAATTGACATCAAAGCAGGTACTCGGGGCATTCTCATGCCTGCTCCGTCCTAATCTTCAGCAGCCACCGCAGAGTTCCAATACTGATAGTACCTGTCACAATCTGGTTCTATGGCCGTCTTGCCTTTCTTCTGAGTGTAGTGAGCCGGCCAGATCCCACGGTTACACAAATTTGCTTTATATTCCCTAAGCCATAATAATCTTGTTTCTCTACTGATTCCACTGCGTGTTCCCAAAGGACCTTGTCGTGTTGTGTATCAATTCACCACCCAGTGGTGCAGGTCCAGCCAATCTGTCTGTCTGTTCATTACCCACCACGCCGGCATAGCCAGTGTACCCAGTAGGAGCTGACTGACAAACCTCGCCTTTGCCCAGCAGCCGATTTCTGCACGTTTATCATTGTTTAGTACCCACTTGCAGCAGACGATTCATCATCTTGGATTCATTTCTTACGTCTCAGAAACGCAGCGCATTCAGTGTGTGTGTGCTTTGTCCATACTTCTTCCTTTACTAATGTTTGCAGACACAGGCAGTCTATCGGCTCTTTCATTTCGTTTTACCCTAGCGTATTCTGGTGTGTACAGTCGAGACAGCGTCTCAGTGTAACTACATTAGCCATAATGCTTTACATCTTTAGCTTCGAACCCCACTCAGCTCATGTACAGTCATCGATATATCGAGACTGAGCGAGTGTGGAAATGTCCAGAGTGCAATAATGTCACTGTTTCATTCATTCATTCATTCATTCATTCATTCATTCATTCATTCATTCATTCATTCATTCATTCATTCATTAATTCTTCGACCTAGAGCACGAGGTAGACCAAGAACTTATGGAAGGATAACATCAGAGAAACTCTACAACAGCACGATGTGCCTATGGTCGAGGCGGCCAGAAGAGCTAGAGAAAGAACCTTATATCTCCCTCGACACCCACAGCGGTAGAAGAGGAAGTGAAGAAGAAGATGATGATTCATTCTTCACCTCTATTTTACCGTATCTTTCCATCAACGCACTCTCCCTTTCTCTCCCCAACTGTCTCTTCCCACCCTCATACACGTTTGTACACAAACTTAACACTGCATTCTCAGCATAAGGAACGAATGAAATCGACATAATGAAAAGTGTAATGAAACGCCTTTATTGTTGCAAATACGCGTACAATGTTCCTATTATGAAAAATTTTACTCAAAACAATATCTACTACGCTAAATGTTGCCACCAGGCTATAGATGCAAAAGAATAATACTGCTTTACAATCACACAAAATGGTACCAGCGACAACCGATCCCGTTCGCCGCTTCCTGCGGAGATAAGAAAACAAAGAAAACAACCTTGTTATTTGCACATTTAATTTAATTTTCCCTGCCGTTTCATATATCAGTCAATCAGGTAATCTTCTTCTTCTTCAGCATTCCGAGCCCTTGAGGTTCATTGCTGCAGATATCACCCGCCTCCACTCAACTCTCTGGTTGCCCTTCTCTTTCCTGTTGGTGACACCAAGTGTTTTGTAGGTCTGTCTGGATATTATCTTTCCATCATCTTCTTGGTCTGCCTCGTGGTCTTCACCATTCATCTCCCTTGTGTATACAGTTTTTACTTCTCTGTCATCTGACACTCTTTCAATATGCCGCAACCATTTCAGTCTATTAGTTCTCATTATGCCAGTTATCAGTGGTGATTTGAACGATTATGAATTTCGTTGTTGCTTCTCACTCTCCATTCCCCGCTGTTTGTATCTTTGATGGGTCTAAAGATTCGTCGTAAGACTGTTTTCGAAAACCTGTAATCAGGCTTCAATGTATTCGCGGCTAACCTCTAAACCTAGATGCTGCTCCACCATCCCCTACCATGTGGACGTGCCTAGTAGTAGGATGGTACCAGTAGAAGTTTGATGCGTCCATCTCGCTTCGGCCAGATCCCAGTTAATCAACTCTATGCACTTTTATCGCCAACGTATTTCTAATTTTCTTGTTATCCACTTTTGTGGAGGTCTACCTCTGCCTCGTTTTCAGGAAAATGTATCCTCCACAATCACCGTTGTCTCCAGGCTGCCATGACGCCTAACATGACCACAAACCTCAGCTTCCGGGAGAGGGTGTTGGTGGGACATGTAAGAAGGCCGAAATATTTCAGTTCCTGAGAGACATGATTCTTCTGCTTAAGACCCGCCAGCCTTGACCTTGATCAAATTGCAAATGTTCTAGAGGGAAAGGGGGGAGAAAAGTGAGCGACAACAAAACACTAAACAAGAGGGTCCGTGTCTGGATAAGGACCGAGCGGCTTACCGTGTCGTATAAAACATTCAGGCACGCCCTTTCCCTCCTTGAACTTTACATCTTCGTCACAAGTCTTGCGTGTACTGTCGGCGCCACATATATCGGTCGGTTGACTACGATGCGCCCGTCCAGATTCTTGATTGCCCTAACTGCATCCTGGGCGTCTGTCATGATCACAAAGCCAAAGCCTTTGGAAACGCCAAACTCGTTGGAGATCACCTGGGAAAGTGGAGTATGGGTAAGCCAAAAAGTGTTGAGGCATTCGAAATCTCAGGTTGTAAATCAGCCGAGAAAGGGGAATTTATGAGAGTTGTTCTCTTGTCAGAATAAAACAAAGAAGAAGAAACAGATAGGTAAAAGGACGGACAGACAGAAGACAGACAGACCAGTTTGTCAGCTTCCTCTCCATACATTAATCGATCGATAGATGGGAAGGCTAACCCATACACAGACACATAGGATGTCACACATATTGTTCTCCTAACAATTATACATACAGACAGAGACAGACAGAGACAGACAGACAGACAGACAGACAGACAGACAGACAGACAGACAGACAGACAGACAGACAGACAGACAGACAGACAGACAGACAGACAGACAGACAGAGACAGTCAGACAGAGACAGACAGACAGACAGACAGACAGAGACAGACAGACAGACAGACAGACAGACAGACAGACAGACAGACAGACAGACAGACAGACAGACAGACAGACAGACAGACAGACAGACAGACAGACAGACAGACAGACAGACAGACAGACAGACAGACAGACAGACAGACAGACAGACAGACAGACAGACAGACAGACAGACAGACAGACAGACAGACAGACAGACAGACAGACAGACAGACAGACAGACAGACAGACAGACAGACAGACAGACAGACAGACAGACAGACAGACAGACAGACAGACAGACAGACAGACAGACAGACAGACAGACAGACAGACAGACAGATGGACAGGTACTCTGATTGACATAAAGACAACGACATAGTTGAACTGGTGGATGGATGAATGGCTCTAAAGACATCATATCTCGGAAAACGAAATAGTGTCCTAAAGTTAATTACAACAGTAGCAAAGAAAACAAAAAGAACTTATAATGTGGCGTGGTCTAGGAAAGAGATAAGTAAAGAGGGTGAAACTGGATAGAGCCACTGAGAGTCTTTCCAACTGGACCGTGATCTCGGCAGCTATATGATGATGATGATGATGATAATGGTGGTGGTGGTAGTGGTAGTGGTAATGTCAGTAATGATAATATGATATTATCATTTAATTACAGCAAGATCAGTTACCAATATGGCGCTACATCTGTTGTTGTTCATCCATCACAAACGATGAGGACAACTCTTTCTTTCATCCATCATGAGACGATAGTTTACAGCTTTTCAACTATGTTTACTCAGGGACCAAAATGCTGAAAACTGGGACGCTCACGGACCAGAGGCACCATCTCCAGTATTAAAAGATCATTAATACAAAACAACTGGCAGTGATCCACGGGCCACTTGCTAGGCCCTCGCAGGCCAGATTTGGCCCGCGGGCCGCCAGATAAAAATAACTGATTGTGTAGTGGGGTTGTGTGGTCTCGAGGCATGGTGTCCGCCTCGAGTGCAAGAGGTTCCGGGTAATTGCTGGGATTTTTTCACGTGGACTTGTAGTAATTCCCCCTCGTCTCTGGGCAGTGAGATCGGACGCCCGTGTGCATTGTTGCGCACGTAAAAAAATCCCTTGGCAGTTGGAAATCGAAAAGAGTAGCCTAACGTCGCTGCCCTGGCAAAATTTTGAGTATTTCAGGATCCTCGTCGGTGCTACAGAGCCTGTGCACTGTGCTGAGCTTCTTCAGCTCAAACTTGAGTTAGGGAGCAGGAAGGATCTAGAAGAATATGGATGGGAGACATTGTCTGAAGGTAAAGGACATGTTATACGGTTTTTACTAGCCTTCCTGTGCTGTTTAGTTGCTTCTTTTCTAGATGCCTTGCAAGTCCTCGCTTAAAGTAGAAAGTGGTGATGCTGGTGGTGTTCACGATAATGAAGATGAGGAAAACTATCAAAATGATTGTGCTAATGATGATCATGATAATGATGACAGTGAAGATGACCATGAACACTAAAATTACGATGATAAGAACAATTACGAAGATCTTCATCATGTTGATGATTATACCGATGATGATAAAGATTAAAATGATGATGATGTCAATGAAAATACAAAAGATATTGATGATTATCGTGATGAGGATGATAGTGGTGATGATGATGATGATGGCGATGATGATGGTAATGAAGATGATGAGAATGATGTGATTATGATGAGGGAGAGGGTGACAATGATATACACATAATAACGATGATATTGACATGTGGCTTAAGAGAAAGATGCTGCTGCTGATGATGACGATGATTCTAATAACAATGAAGAATATGATGATAATGATGATGATGATGATGATTCTAATAACAATGAAGAATATGATGATAATGATGATGATGATAACTATGGTGAATATGGGATGAAGAAGAAGATGCTGGGGATGATGACGGTGATTATTTTCTGCGTCTTCCAGGCGTCCGATATCGTATGCTCAGGTCAGACCAACAGGTGGGCTGCCTCTATGAATTTACATGTCAGCTGCAGGTCCCTCATGGTTCCCCACAACTTGCTCTGCACACTGTGCTCTTGAGACCAGGTTTTTCTCCATAGCTGTAAGTCTAATAGGCAAGCCGACAGAATGTGCTCAGGTGTGATTGGTCCCATAAAAAGGTAAAGGTAAAGTCGGGAGATGTGATCCAGCCTCATTGCACACGGTTTTAAACGGTAAGTGCTTTGCCACCAGTACGGACAGCTGATAAGAAACTGTCCGCCTGTGTTGGCGTCCTCACGAAACTCCGTAACTACAGCAACGTTCTTCCATTCACCTCAGAGTGTTAACCCAGGGAACAGCCCGGTTTCGAACACCGGCAGTGGGCTGCAGTAAGTCGCAGCTGGATTTGAAAGAGACTCATACTGACTGCGCTTACGCGGCCTCCATCTGACATGCAACCTGTGGGCACAAATATATCATTACGGTCTGACGAGAATGTCGCTGCGAGGAGTTACAGCTACTGGTGCCATCCAAATTGGAACTCTTCACTTGCTGCTGAAGATGGAGACACAGCGCTTATGGAAGTGCCCCCGAGTCCAAATTAATGTATGCATGGGGTAAATGAGCCTGCAGTGTCCTGTTTTTAGACATACAGCTGTTGTATATTATACTCATTATACTGATGATTATAATAATGTTCAAGATTCTGACGAAGTCAGTGATGACGATGATAATAAAGATGGTAATGTTAAACAACGATGATAATACAGATGGTGATGACGAATAGGCCGGTTATAATGATAATGATAACGGCAACCACGACCAAACTCTGACCTTTGCCGAAAGGACATGCCCATACACACCAAACAGGCTCTCCAGCTTCTCATCACTGATAGACTCGTCCAGGTTCTTCACAGACAGCGTGGCCGTGGTGCTTGTCGTGTCGTCGCCGCTGTCCTCCTCCGCCTGCTTCAAGTCGCTGCCGCCGTTTTCCACGTCACCGTTCTCTGTTGCCTCCGTCTGGTCCGCCGCTTTGCGCGTCGACCTCGCCAAGATGGCGTTGTTGCTGATGTTGATGTTCTCCGTGTTGTTGCTGTAGAAAGTTATCCATCTGGCTGGACTAAAGGTTATGTCATGTTATATTATCACAGTTTTTGAGCTGAAATGCTACAGAAAGATTCTCAGACTAACAAGGACAAAGGTAAGTGAATTCGGTTCAACCTCACAAGGCCGTACAACCAGCGATTAACATCCTACGACATAAAGTGCCACCGTTTTGATGAGAATCCTCTAGGCACAATTCCTAGAAACCCTGTTCAAACGTTAACGTTTATATTAGAACCTCCCAAGATAGCCGTGGTTAGGCTTTAAAATAACCGAAACGTCCGTCCCATATCGGGACGAAACTGCATCTTGTGGACACAGGAGAAAAGAAATACTGACATCCAAAAAGACCTGACCTCGAGGAAGATTGGCTGGTAAACAGCATCTTGTCTCAGATACGGAAATATTTTGGCCATATCAAGCGCCACGGTAAACTGGAACAGAATAATAGCAAAAGGCGTTATTGGAAGCAGGGTCTGACCGGCAGGAAGATGAGCACATAATATAAATGACACCTGGGTAGGAAATTGCACGAGGTGAGAGACCAAGTTTCTTTCAGGCAGACCATGATGGGAGCGACGTTCTGCAAGGACCAGCTACATAATGAAAGCAGGTTATCACACTACTCTTCACCGAGCACTAGGCATTCATATAAGCACTCGTTCCTCTGATGCAACAGCCAACTCAGGTACCTCAACAGAGTATTACCCTAAGAAGCTCGTAAAAATGACTCCAGTCTTGACTTCGAAGACAGCTTGAACTGCTTTCTCGAGGACTGACTCCCAGGGAACCGGGTTGGTATCTGAGACGTCATTATCCACCTCCTGTGCTGGAAGTTTGTGGATCCTTTTCCATGCCTGTAAGCGAATTTGGCATACAGGCTAGACCAGCATTTTATAGACCAATCGGCACTTGGTAGATGATGTGGTCAGTATCACGCCGGCCGCCTTTACTTCCCTGGACTGCACCTGGTACTCACTCAAGGCTGAGTCGGCCTGGGAGCCAAGGTCAGTTTTGAAAAGTGGTATACATGGTCAAGATAATTTCTTCAATGGCGGATAATGTAGTTAATAGTCATCTAAGTACGGATTTGACGTCACAGCATTCAGGAAAAGCCCATATTAGCTCCGTCTCCCTCCTTACACAGCCAGCGATGAGTCCCCTTACGGATGGTGCCGGCTGTCATTTCGTCAGCTACGCGTCGTGCCCTTCTTTTGATTGTCGAGTGGAACCCAGAGTCCGTAGAGCTCCAACTTGCACCCTGCTCTCCAGGTACGGTTGCTCAATAGTGTACGTCAATGATTTCGTCTACAATGGCCATTTCAATGTTGTGTGTCAGTGCAACGTGTGTCACGGTTTCTGACAGCGATGGTTAGGAAAATAAAGGTAGTCTACAAATGGCTGTTGAAACAGTAGCGTCAATGATTCGGGTATCAAAAGTGGCTGTGCCAAACTTAGAGTTACTATTACGTCGACCTACTATTACCTCTAAATTTAGTCAACGGATTATCCTCATTGTTTATGGAACCATTCAGTCCTCAAGCGCTTGGATCCCATCCTCAGTAAATCCCGCAGCGTGTAGCGGCTCACGACACCAGCTCTCTGTTAGTTTCTTATTCTTCTTTGGCTTCCTGTATAGTGTTCTTATCTGACCACACCGCTTTTAACATGTTGTTCTTGCAGCTTATCATGGCTGCAGATTCACTGCCCAAGGAACAACCAGCTGCACACACATAAGCAAGTAAAACGGAAGTACAAGCAAAACTCAGGCCCAGACACAAATTCTAAATGTCCAAAGGGTTTCCGCCGGTGACCAAAGAAGAAGAAGAAGAAGAAGAAGAAGAAGAAGAAGAAGAAGAAGAAGAAGAAGAAGAAGAAGAAGAAGAAGAAGAAGAAGAAGAAGAAGAAGAAGAAGAAGAAGAAAGAGAAGAAGAAGAAGACGAAGACGAAGAAGAAGAAAAAAGAAGAAGAAGAAGAAGAAGAAGAAGAAGAAGAAGAAGAAGAAGAAGAAGAAGAAGAAGAAGAAGAAGAAGAAAAAGAAGAAGAAAAAGAATAAGAAGAAGAAGAAGAAGAAGAAGAAGAAGAAGAAGAAGAAGAAGAAGAAGAAGAAGAAGAAGAAAGAGAAGAAGAAGAAGAGGAAGACGAAGACGAAGAAGAAGAAGAAAAGGAATAATAATAATAATAATAATAAGAAGAAGAAGAAGAAGAAGAAGAAGAAGAAGAAGAAGAAGAAGAAGAAGAAGAAGAAGAAGAAAAAGAAGAAGAAGAAGAAAAAGAAGAACAAGAAGAACAAGAAGAACAAGAAGAAGAACAAGAACAAGAAGAACAAGAAGAACAAGAAGAACAAGAAGAACAAGAAGAAAACGTCTTATTTCTCATAGAGCATTCAGAATATCAGATCACCCCAAGCTACTATAACATCGAGCTACATTTACTCCAAGCTTCCTTGGGTATAATTACAGTGATCCCCAGTCACTAATACCTCCCTTCACCTTCACCTTTATCTCTATTTACTATTACCCCGAGTTACAATTAACGGTGGCACTATTACCCCACATTACAACTACACAGAACTCTTAATTACTACGAGTCACAATTTCGTCAAGTCACAGTTACACCGCGTCACAATTACCCGGTGTTACTATTACCGTTAGTTACAAATTACCCCTAGTTCTGCTTACCTTGAGTTACGGTTGACACTGTTGCTGTTGAAACTACTGATGTCATTGATGTTCACCGGGTGTCCCTTGTTGGCGAGCGTGCTGACCAAGTCTTTAAACTGTAGGAAGTTGGGATTGCCGTTGTTGTCGCCGTCGTTGTTGGTGGTGCTGCTGCTGTTGTTGTTGCCACCGCCAAAGCCGCTGGTGGTGTTGTCGTTAGTGGCGGGGGTCGGGGATTTGTCCGGGGCGCTGTTGGTGGCCGTCGGGGTGGTGTTGAAGGGAGCATAGGTGACACTGATACGGGTGCCGTAGATCACTTTCCCGTGCATTGAAATCACAGCCTGTCAAAAACATGACCATCTTTCGTTGTCGTGTGTGCATGATTCTGCGCGTGCGCGCGTGTCTGTCTGTGTGCGTGTGTGTGTGTGTGTGTATATTGTGCGGGCGCTCGTGTGTGATAGAGAGAGAAAGAGAGAACGAGAGAGAGCGCGCGTGTAGGGAACTTTGTTCTGTAGTCGTCTCACTGATACCAGGTTGTAGCTTAGTGTCGTGATTTTTTTGTTTTTGTCTTTCGCTTCTGGGATGGCTTGAGCGGTAAAATAAAGGACCCTTTCCTACGCCCCAATAAGGCGTATAGACCAATCGGCACAAGATGGGTGATGTGGTCAGCATTACACCGACCGCCTTTACTTCCCGGGACTGCACCCGGTACCCACTCAAGGCTGGGTCAACCTGGAAGCCAAGGTGATTTTTGAAAAAAGTCCGGCTTCGCCAGGGAGCGAACCCACGACCTTCCGATCCGTGGTGAGCGTCTATCCGCTCTGTCACGGCGACTCCCGGCTAGGGTGGTGGGTTTGTTCATATTTTTGAAGGTTCCAGCTACATTATTTATCCATTTCCTTACTGGTCTTACCCTCGCCTACTCCCCGATGCTCTGTTTTACACGTCTTGTGTACAGCTTGGTCTGGCTGACTTCTCTCTAGATGGCTGAACCATTTCCTTCTTTGTCTGTCAGTATAACAGACATGGTCTTATTTAAACTTTCTTTCTAATGCGTGTATTCATGACCTTGTTCCTTTTTGTGTTGTTAGCGACCTTACGGAGAAGGTGCATTCCACATGTAGTTATTTTCTCTTCTACAGCATTATTTAAGGCAAGGATGGCGATACAAAGACAAAAAAAACGTGGAGCGGGCTTCAACTCCTTTACATGTTTTCTGTTTTACCTACCGACAGCGTCACACAAATGACAACCCGCAGCTCCAGAGACGACGGGGATCTAACAACTAAAAAACTGCAGACGTAAACCGAAGGACGACATTGAACCCATAGCCTTCATAGCGTAAGGTTAATGTCTCTGTCTCGACGACGTTGTTATGAAAGCTGTGTACTCCTTAACCACACTAAAGCTTCCTAAATCACAAGCTACAGTACGTGTCAAAATTCTGGGCCAACTTTTAAAATCGCAAACCTGGTAACCATTCTGTGTCATCATTATAAACATCATCATGTACCAGGTCCTTTGTAGAACGACGCTCTCATCACGGTCTGAAAGAAACTGGGTCTCTCGCCAAGTCTCCCGCCTCATGTACTTTCATACTCAAGGAGTCTCTTATATCATGTGCCCATCTTCATATAGATCGGTCCCTGCCCCTCCTTCCTGGTACAATGCCGTCTACTATTATTTTTTTCCAGCGGCGCTTGATGTGACCAAAATATTTCAGCTGCCGAGACAGGATTCTGTTTATTAGTCAAACTTCCTTTAAATTCAGATCTTTCAAGATGTCAGTATTTCTCCTCTTCTTTTTCCAAGATATTATGAGAATCTGTCTATAGCATTTCAGCTCAAAAGCCCCTATTCTCTTTCTTAAGGACTGGGAGATAGTTCACGACTCACATCCGTATGCTGCTACAACCATTATTATAACCATTCTGTGTTAACTGTTCAAATTTGGCATATAACCTGTTAATATTCATGTCCTTGTATGAAAACAATAAGTATTTGAAAAAACTAACACCGATTCAGATATAATACAATTAACATGTTTACCGTTAATGAGGTGAGGCCAACTTGACAACAACATCAAATTGCACCCGTAATGCGTGCGTAAAACCAAGGAGCACTTTTTTTTCGAGTAGTGAAGTCTATAAAGCGTGTACTGTTATAATCTTATTTACATAATTGAAACAATTTATAGGTGTTTCACTCTCCTCAGGTGGTCAGTCTCCAGCATTGGCCTCTCGTGAGTTTGAAAAATACAATATATCATTGTATGCGGCATAGGCTATTAAAAAACCGAATCACCATGCACTTCTACACATGTGAACTGATATCCAAAACAATCTCCGTGCTTGTGGTTTGCACTAAACGATTTGTGCTAGAGGTTCTGGGTTCCATCCCCGGTAAGGGCTGGGATTTTTTCACGTGGACTTATACTTCTAGTAATTCCCCCTGGTCTCTGGATAGTGAGGTAGGACGTCCGTGTGCATTGTTGCGCACGTAAGAAAATCCCTTGGCAGTTATAAATCGAAAAGAGTAGCCTAACGGTGCTGCCCGGGCAAAATTTGGAGTAAAAAATCTACCCAAAGTATTTCAGGATCCTCGCCGGTGCTACATAGCCTGTGCTGAGCTTCTACAGACAGACGAGTTAGAGGAAGAACGGAGCACTTATGGGTGACACTCGTGTGCCATGATTTTGATCCCTTGTTCAATTTTTCAATTTTTTTACGTATACAGGTTATTATTTCGACAAAGATAAAGATGCAAATGTTAATTATAAAGTCATAAGAACGTAGGGTAAGAGTACACGTCAATTCGTGTCGATCCGCATGTGCGTTTTGGAGACATTTGTTAAAGTTTGAAGTCACGACTTTTGGAACAGATTGTAATAGCATGAAACCACCCAAAACATTTACCTTTGTTGCATCCTGTTGGTCCTGATAGACGACATAACCAGTGCCCTTTGACCTTCCGTCGAAAGTTTTTAGTAACTAAAAAAAAAAAAAAATCAAACGCTATTCATTATAGCAGACACGAACAATGACAAAACTTACACGTTTCAAAAAACGGTAATAGTAACGTTGATCTCCCCACGCCCAGCCCATATTCACACAAGCACATTTCTTATTGATAGTTCTTGAACCCGTCACCTTGGCACAAGGTTACGGGGGTGTTCCGCAATGCCGTTGAAATCGCGTGATGTATATTTCAGCACGCCAGGGCTTCAAACACTCTAAAAACATGGAGAAACTGGCTCTAAAACAACCCCCTTAGAGAGTGCTGCAATCTATGTCAAAGGCACTCTCTTTCTCGAAATGAAAACGTAAATTCAAGAAATCACAGAAAACAAACAACAGAGCAGGACACAACCGTAACCTTCAGGAAAGTCGACAAGCCCAACACACTTGTGAAATGTGCAGTGACGTCGATTGTGATAACAAAACACAAAATAACATTTTATAGGAAGTCGGCATTCTGAAACCCAAGTTCAAGGTGTCTCCTTCGTGCCAAAGAACTGCATGGCTGTTGGGTGAACAGTCGTTAACGAAGGCAGTCAGGTCGTTGTAGGGGCGACGCCTGCTGGTGGATGTAATGTCCTAAGTCCCTTTCCCAGCTAATAGTGAGGGTACTGCTGGGGTGACCATTTGTTAACCCCTCACATAATGCTTCAAGTCACAGTGGACACTAGGCACGACCACTTTTTTTTTTTTTTTTTTTTTTAAGCCGTGGCAGTTCTGCCAGGCGGTGGCCGTTGCATTTTTGCTCCATTTGTAGACTGGAAGGATATAGTTTCGTCACCCAGCTTCTGAGTTGAGTGCATGGTGTGACACTGTGAGCTACGAGTGTTTTTCGTTGGCACAGGAGCGGAGCAACAATGGGGTGACCCGTTTGCTATGATGCTGAAACTAGGATTACCAGATTACCAGATTACACTTGTGAAAGAACAGTGACCTACTCTATTTGGGGAGACTAACGTAAAACTAACCCAAAACACTTAATAGAAACGCATAGTGTGGTGCCTTTCAGTGGCAAAAAAAAGGAAAATGCCCTTGGTTATCTGACGGCGCGCTTTTATTATTTGGCAGGCATGCCCGTTAGTCTAAAAACTATCAAAGGCCTCCTTAATTCAAAAGAAGTATGGGCTGAATCGTTGAACCCAAAGGTGGTATTAAGTACCGTTGGAAAAATGTGACTCTTTAAATTACAAATATTTTGAATGTCCAAATTATAATATTAATTATAAATTATAATACACTGTGCTTTTGTTTTCTTTCATTTGTTTGTTTTCACAATATACATTAAACATTGATACTTACAAATTCAATCTTGTCTCCCTACCAATATAACCTAGGTGTGTGACCTGTCATCAGTCTTCCTGAAGTGTCTCTAGTCTGCTCTCATTGGTCTTTGAGTCGTCTTTAGGGGCCCCAGCACCTGGAGGCTCAAGTACCTTGATCCCCCCCCCCCCCTTTCCCCAAGAATAATTTAGGTGCTCGGGGGGCTAAAACATTTTAAGAGGACTAAGCAGAACCTATAACCAGAAGATTTCTACTGAAGTATTTGTTGATATATTTCATAGTATATCAAATTGTTTTGTTTTTGTTGGTAGCTCCTCACATTATTATTATTATTATTATTATTATTATTATTATTATTATTATTATTATTATTGTTATTATTATTATTATTATTATTATTATTATTATTATTATTATTATTTTTACCAACTTAACTAAGTATTAGACTCCTTGAGGCACCCCCTCCCCACCTTAGAAAATATATGTAAGGAAATATGCCTCACCCTCTCCGCCCTCTTTTTTTTTTTTTTGCACATACAAACACCAGAAGGGGGAAAGACAATGTTTTCTTTGTGTAAGGCAGCGGTTCCCAATCTGTGGGTAGCGACCCCTTTTTGTGTGGGGCAAACGACCCTTTCGCAGGGGTCGACAAAGACCATCGCAAAACACATATTCATCAATGTTATGAAATAGCACGGAAAATAATTGTGTGGTTTGGGGTCACCACAACATGAGGAACTGTATTAAAGGGTCGCGGCGTTAGGAAGGTTGAGAGCTGTCTAAAAGTGGTCGACCTTTTCATTTTTTTTTTTCTTAAAAGGACTAGGACTAGGAAGGTTGAGAGGCACTGGTGTAAGGTGTAATGAAACAACATGCACATTTTTGCAATGACGTCAATTTTCTTTGTACCAGTTGGCCTTCCAGTGTGTCGTGAAAAAAAATGACATTTTCCACAGGTCCTGCTCATCATTATCATCTAGTAGATCCTTCGCAGAACGTCGCTCGCGCCCATCACTGTCTTGTCTGAAAGAAACTTGGTCCCTTGCCAGCTCTTCCACCTTGTCCACGACTCTACCCAAGGTGTCACTTATATCCTGTGCCCATCCTTGTGCTGTTCAGCTCCGAGGAAGAGCAAGGATGTAGTATTCGTTTGTGTGGGCAGAGATTGTTAAACATGTCTGAAACCTATCACAGATAGAGGAAAATGTAAAGGCTATAGGTCCACTTCATTGCACTGGATTTTATCCCATATGGCTCAGTCTTTTTCCGCAAAACAGCTAGCTGCCTACCGAGAGCGCCGACAAATCACGACCCGCTTAGCTCCGGCGAAGATCCCCATGGCACTCGTAAGCTGAACGGCGCTGCCGTCAAACGAACCCACTATTTTCAGAGCGCGAGGCAAACGGCTCGACCACTTCGCCATGGAGACCCCTCCAAATCTATCAAAGAATGCAAATGCAATACACAAATAATTGTTTGTGTCAGAGAAAAGTGTATGAATTTGTGGACAGATTTGAAAATGGAAGGGATAGCGTCCGTGATGAAAAGCGGAGTGGGACATCTGTTAGCTTGGGCAAAGGGTCTTCTGGCTACCACGCCTTTTGCTATTATTTTTCCAATTCGCCGTGATGAATGATACGGCCAAAATATTTCAGTTTCCGAGACAAGACCCAGTTTACTGGTCAATCTTCTTCTATTATCAGATCTGTTAGGATGTCAGTAATTTCTTGTTTTCTTCAAGGATCTGATGTATGAAGATGATGCTCGTCCGTCTACAACTGCAGGAAAAACAGGCTTAAACATGGTCATTTGTGTTCACATCGGACGTCAACATATACTTACCTCGGTTTGGATAACCGGGCCAAACCGTTCAAATTCCTTTCTAAGCCTCACTTCGTCGACAATGTCCCTGAGGTTTCGAATACGGATTCTGGGGGAGATGGTATTGTTAAGACTGTTGTGGCGCCATTCCTGGAATGAACAGAAAAATTGTATGTATACTAGATTTCCTTTTCCGGCTTCACACAGAATAGTGAAAGGAACCTTTATTCTCCTGCCGGTTCACCGCTGACGTATGTTTAGTCAATGAGGCTAACTGCAACTGAGGCTTGTACCACTCCTCGGCTTTGCAACGGCCCCACAAAAATTGACTGACGTAGTTACCGCCTCAATGGGGCGGCACCGCCCCTAGTGGTCAATACTGATCTAACCAATACTCTCCCAAATTAGTTACTATAATTAATTTTAGTCATCGTGTTCTTCTTTATTCCAATACTTTCACCATCCGTTGGGGAAAGTGCACCCAAAAACTGCGAAACTGAAAATATACAATAAGAAATATGTATAAAGAAAAAAAAAGTTTTAACTGGTGATTGACCCAGGACCTTCCGCGTAGCAGGCGAAAGTTATAACCACTGCACTAGAGAATCGTCTGATCATAATCTCGTACTTGGAGGATACAGATATTACTTGTAGTAATGGCATATTGTGTAATCTACGATGGGAGGTCCTTAAGTAAAGTTAATGCCTTGCAACGCATGTAGTCCATTGTAATTTAGTAATGCCGTGGATACCTTCCCACTGTGGAGTTCCCGGAAACGAAAGAGCTGATGAACTAGCTAAGGAAGGTGCAACTGAATAACAACCCGACATACCAGTCTTTTATCAACAGAAGAGAAAAATCAAATCAATCAGAATGCCTCTGAAACTGGCACAAGACGATTACTATATTATGGACAGACCAGAACAAGTCATTATCCTTTGCCTTAGAACAGGGCACAATCGACTTCGTTGCCACATGTACAAAAAATTTTAGATTAGCGAATCAGCCATGTGTACCTATGGACTGGCACCTGAGACAACAGATCACATCCTCCAAGACTGTCCCAGATTCAACTCTTTCAGGCAAGACTTCTGGCCAAAAGAGACACTTGTGGAAGTCAAACTTTACGGGCCGCTTAGTGAATTACAAAAGACAGTGAAGTTCATACTAGAGACAGCTTTGCAGATATAGATAATTTATTTCATGCGAACGAAAGAAGAAGAAGAACATGTAGTCCACAGTACCACAAGCTTGTGAATGCCCGGCAGGCAGAAGCTTTTGGATGTGGCCAGTAACTAAGTTTGCACCACCGACATCAGCTCACTGTCATCTGCAAATATAAGACTCTACAAATGTTCTTTCATTGGGCCAAAGAAATGAAAGATACTTTAATGCTTCAAACCGCAGAGTCTGCAATGTATCCATCGTGAGCACTGCTGTGTGGGTCGGGCGTTGTCATGCAGAAACAAAACTCTTTTTATCAGAAAACTCCGGCATTTCGAAGGGATCGCGGACTTCAACATTTTCGCTCTCCTTTCCTGGATATGTGTCATAATAGGGCTGTTGACATCGCAAACGACGGTTAACATGATCTTCTAAAGCCTGTGTCTTGAATTTTGTTGATGGCGGCGATGCTGGCTGTTCCCTGCATCGATTGTCTCCTCCTCGCTGGTTCATAATAGTGCACCAAGGACTCATTACTTGTCACAATTATTTGTAAGCTCCACCACAGTTGCTGTCAGGGGAGCCATAACTAAACCTAACGGTAGGACAGAGTTTCTAGGACTTGCGTCTAAGAGATTCTCTTCCGACTGGTGACAGTTTGTGTTATCAAGTGTTAGGGAGGGTTGTAATCGGAGCTTGGTTCAGCAAAGGACATGATACTGACTGATCGTAAAGTGATAACTTTTTTTAATGCCAGTCACTCAATTCAATATGCGTAGGACGCTATACAATATGTTCAAGACGGTCCTATTGGTCTACCGGAGCCACGGCTACTGTACCCACCGTTTTATGGTCGTCGTTGTCATATCTGACATTGCTGTCTCTCTGTCGTTGTGTCCTTGTGATGGCTGGGCCTGCGTAGAGCGTACGTCCGTCTAAGACCAGGCCGTTGAGCTTGTTCACGGCCTGTGGGAGATCACGACAGTTGTCACAGGGTTATGTTGTGTGATCACGGCAGTTGTGACAGAGGTATGTTGTGTGATCAAGGCAGTTGTGACAGAGGTATGTTGTGTGATCACGGCAGTTGTCACAGGGTTATGTTGTGTGATCACGGAAGTTGTGACAGAGGTATGTTGTGTGATCACGGCAGTTGTGACAGAGGTATGTTGTGTGATCATGGCAGTCGTGATAGAGTTATGTTGTGAGATTAAAGCAGCTGTGATAGAGTTATGTTGTGAGATCATTGCAGTTGTGAAAGAGTTACGTTTTGAGATCAAGGTAGTTGTGACGGAGTTATGTTGTGAGATTAAGGCAGTTGTGACAGAGTTATGTTGTGAGATTAAGGCAGTTGTGACGGAGTTATGTAGTGAGATTAGGGCAGCTGTGACAGAGTTATGTTTTGAGATCAGGGCAGTTGTGGCAGAGCTATGTTGTGAGATCAAAGCAGCTGTGACAGAGTTATGTTGTGAGATCAAAGCAGCTGTGACAGAGTTATGTCGTGAAGTTAAAGCAGCTGTGACAGAGTTTTGTCGTGAGATTTAAGCAGCTGTATGTTGTGAGATCAAAGCAGCTGTGACCTGTGACAGAGTTATGTTGTGAGATCAAAGCAGCTGTGACAGAGTTATGTGGCGAGATCAAAGCAGCTGTGACAGAGTTATGTGGCGAGATTAAAGCAGCTGTAACAGAGTTATGTTGTGAGATCAAAGCAGCTGTGACAGAGTTATGTTGTGAGATCAAAGCAGCTGTGACAGAGTTACGTTGTGAGATCAAAGCAGCTGTGACAGAGTTATGTTTTGAGATGAAGGCAGTTGTGAGAGCTATGTTGTGAGATCAAAGCAGCTGTGACAGAGTTATGTTGTGAGATCAAAGCAGCTATGACAGAGTTATGAAAGTGACAAGCAAAAGAACTTTTTTCACGCCTTGAGGCGTATTGATCATTAGGGACTAGACCTACTGACCAATGGGCACTAAGTTATGACTAAGTTATTATTCAAAAATTCCGGTCCCAATATGGGACACAGAATGTTGATGTTACAGCCCCACCCCGGCTGGACTTCAGGTTAGTTCGTAACCGTCTGGGGCCTCAAAATAACTTATGGATCGAACGGGGTTTCTGGGACTTGTAACGGGGGGATTCTCATCCGATTGGTGACACGTTGTGTCACCTGGTGTCAATTGCTTATTGTGCGGTTATAGTGGGTTTCAACTTCATAACTTACTCACCGACTCCACTCTCTCACTCACTCACTCACTCACTCACTCACTCACTCACTCACTCACTCACTCACTCACTCACTCACTCACTCACTCACTCACTCACTCACTCACTCACTCACTCACTCACTCTCTCACTCACTCACTCACTCACTCACTCACTCACTCACTCACTCACTCACTCACTCACTCACTCACTCACTCACTCACTCACTCACTCACTCACTCACTCACTCACTCACTCACTCACTCACTAACTCTCTCATTTACTCATTTAATCACTCACTCACTTACTCACTCACTCATACACTCACTCACTCACTCGCACACACACACACTCATTCATTCACTCACTTACTCACTCACTCACTCACTCATAATCACGCACTCACGCAAGCACACGTACACACTCACTCACCCACTCACTCACTCATTCACACACTTACTGACTGACTGACTGACTGACTGACACACTCACTCACTCATTCACACACTTACTCACTCACTCACTCACTCGCACACACACACACTCATTCAATCACTCATTCACTCACTCATGCACACTCACTCATACACTCACTCACGCACTCACGCACAAACACGTACACACTCACTCACTCACTCACTCATACACTCACTCACGCACACACACGTACACTCACTCACTCACTCACTTATCCATTCACACACCTACTGACACATTCACTCACACACTCATCGAGCACTTATGTTTGCACCATTAGCAAAACACATCGGGATAGAATATCAGCTACACAGTCTGCTCGACATACGAACGAGTTCCATTCTGACTAACTTGTACAACTCATCGGAAGTCGAATTTGTATTTTCAACACAATTTTCATTCAAATGGGTTATTCAAAATTGTTCTTCTTTTTCTAATTCGCTAGCACCAGCTGTAAACTCCGTTGGAGAATGTTTCGTCGGCTTCTAGACTTTACTTGCTTCAGAAGTTGAGTTTTACGTGCGCGCCTGTTTGACAGATCTGGCTTATTTATACGCAAACTGTTAGTTCGTTTCCTCTTATGCAAGTGCATTTCAACTTTGAGAGGAAACCCCAAATTAGTTGACTCTTATGACAAGAAGAAGAAGGAGAAGGAGGAGGAGGAGGAGGAGGAGAAGAAGAAGAAGAAGAAGAAGAAGAAGAAGAAGAAGAAGAAGAAGAAGAAGAAGAAGAAGAAGAAGAAGAAGAAGAAGAAGAAGAAGAAGAAAGAAGAAGAAGAAGAAGAAGAAGAAGAAGAAGAATAAAGAGAAAGAAGAAGAAGAAGAAGAAGAAGAAGAAGAAGAAGAAGAAGAAGAAGAAGAAGAAGAAGAAGAAGAAGAAGAAGAAGAAGAAGAAGAAGAAGAAGAAGAAGAAGAAGAAGAAGAAGAAGAAGAAGAAGAAGAAGAAGATGTCCATGATAAATACTTACACGTTGTGCTGCATCACAGTCTGTGAAGCAAGCGAACCCAAACCCCTTAGATATACCATATTCATCGACCATGACCTGGTGACATATGAAAGTAATTGAATCGCAATGAACACTAAATATTTCTAGTCAAACTTTGGCCACATCTAAAGCCCCAAACTAGTTGTGTCGGGTGGCATATTATAACCTAACAGTTGAACAGGGTGGGCTCTTGGAACTTGCGCCCAAGGGATTCTCGAATTGAAAGTAGATATAGATGCTTTTACGGAACGGAAATGTTTTTCAGAAACTCCGTAAATTTTTTTTCCCTTGAATTCTATTTTGACATCATCTTTAGTGGTATTTTCATTACATGGCTCATTGAACTAGTTAGATGAAAACAAGGGTTGTTGTGTGCATAATGTCCCCGTATGTGTTCTTAGTCTTCTCGTCTGAATGGTGGCACTTTGTGTCAACGGCTGTTGTGTGGTCCTGGTATGGCTGAACCTAACTCACTCACTCGCGCCTGGTTAATATATACTAATTTTTTTTTTTAAAAAATATATTTATTTGTTGGGTATTGGTTTTGGACTGTGCTGCCAATAGGCTGGCTTCCAAACACCCTCGTGACAACAACTTTCCTATGGATCTAATATTCTGGCATCTATCTCCACTAATAAATAAACATATACATGGTCGACTGCTTGAACCGCCTTCCATAGCACCTCTTCTTCAGAAGACCCCCCCCCCCCCTTTCTTTTTTTTTCTTCCACTTCTCCCCCCTCTTCCACCCCTCTCCCATACTTAAAAAAAAAACACATATGCTTATAACATTCTTTAAACCGTATGTGTTTATACAGTCCAATTATTTTAAATATATTATATTGCTTTGTCGTTTAGCATATTATTGTTGTTATTACTATTGCCCCCTTTAATCAGACTTACGCCCATTTAGTTCCCCTCCCCGACCAAAATAGAATTTTTTAAGGCAGTCAAAATATCTTGACCCCTCCCTCTCTCCCCTGCTTTTCTTTGTGTCGGCGCAACCTGACCCTCACGTGTTCCTAGTACACTATATTACACGGATCCAGCACTGTGATCACAGTACCTTAGCACTGGTGACTTCCCCAAACTGTTTGCACAGTTTCCATAGCTTGAAATCATCCAACAGGTCCTTGAAGTTCTTTATGAACACGTTGGTAAAGCGGTTGTTGGCGATATTCATGCGCTTCAGGAACTCGCTGGAATATCTGTCCGCGAGAGGAAAAAAATAATACAATACATATACATATATATATCCTTAAAGTCATAAACTTCGAGTTCTCACAATTTTAGATGTTTTGGGAACATGTTTGTGGTTCTAGATTGTATGTAGACTCATCAATATTGGTTGGGTAAATACAACATTAAATATAGTACATCTGACAACTTCTCCTCCTTCTTCTTTTCTTCCACCTTGCGCCAGCTGACAACAACGAATAAAAGGCAACGTAATTCTAGATGTATACTGCCGAGTTCACCAACTGACAATCAAAACAATTTTACAAGTTACTAGACCCGGAGAGAAGCCGGAAGGCGGCAACTGGTCCAATTCAAGGCCATTCATCGTGAAGATTGCTAAATCAAGAAAATTCATGGCGAATATTGAACACATGACACGCCGTTGGACAGACGCCGCGAAAACCTTGGCAACGCCTTGAAAAAAAAACAGAAAGCCGGGAAACCCGTTCTTATTACCCTGTAAAATATTAGACTGTCCCGTGACGTCATTTGTGGTCTGCTATTAAGAAAGAATCGAGTGATGTAATCTGAAAAAAATATCCTGGTACCAAATTGAATTGAGAAGAATAATTGACTTTGAAGAAACTAAAGGGAAAAGACTACAGGGCAAGGGAAAGACCACACAGAAGATTAAACACGTGCATGAGAACATTAAAGAAATTAAAATAAACGTATATCACACATTATAAAGAGCACACAGAGGAGCGTGTGTCTCATATTTAGTCCACGGGTTCCAAACCGGCACTCCGCTGAGCCCTAAGTGCTTCGCGGTGCTTTGAGAGCTTCGCATTTTTTCTAAGTGTTCTGTGGCTGCTCCAGAAAAGGGGGGGGGGGGGGGGGATGTGTGTTATGAAATTAAAGATTAGGAAACAAAGAGCAGAACCAATGTTAGAAAATAAGAAATTACATTCTTAACTGAAATTAGCCAAGTTGCCTACTTGGTTATTCTGTTGCCAGTAGCTCCAAAATTGCGTTGGTTACGAGACAGACAGATAACGCGAGAAAATGAGCACCGGCTTATTTTTACCCCTAACAAATCAACAGAAAGTGCTTGAGGATAAGTATTAAAAACTCCACAGGGGAGCATTTATAGCAGGAGTTCACCGATCATCAGTAGAAAGATCCCTCATCGACGATTGTTTCGGCCCGCCACAATTCCTATACAATCTCGGGAGGTGGGCCTACCTGCGTCATGACTCAAAGGCCTTGATCTTCCCCTGTTGCACTTACAGGATGTTTTCGGACAGGGACAAACGATACGGTGATTTGTAACAAGTATTGTGAGAATTATTGATATTGTCGCTAAGGTAGCAAATTAGATCAGTCAACTACTTTACGACCATGGTGACAAGCTTCAGTGTTATTCATCGCACAAGTTGTTTAGACTCTGTCAGTCGTTAGAGGGACATTTACAAACATTTCGGACACTTTAGCTTTTAAGGGATAAGAAGGTCTTTTCCACAAGAGTCTCGGCCAAGTCTACCGAGGGCCATCTCCAACGACGTTCTGATGCGTCCAGAGCCAGCTCGAAGCTCTTTTAGTAGCTTCGCCCAGTTGTTTTAGTGGACATTTGAGCTCGTTTTGATGATTTGAAGGGATGCTGCATGTTCAGCGCGAACGCAGGCTACCCAGCTTAAACGCAGCGGGCTACAAGGCCCTCATAGATTTCACTCTCACAGCCTTCTAAACATCGCTTTTCCAAACAAAAGTCAACCGGATTCTTGGCTCCTTTTACCAGAATGAATTAAATATATTGGTCGAGAAATCAAAATAACCACTGCTGCTTTTCTCAAATACATATCTCTGTGAAGTGTGATTCTCCGCTTAAACAGCTGAATCTTTTTCTAAAAAGTCCATGCCGTGTGGCATTGGTAGTCATGTCTATCCACAACCTTCTGTCTCGTATACTTTTATTCAGCTCTGACTCAGATGATCCTCCACGCCATGATGTCAAACTGTCTAGCATCTTTTCTCCCGGTCTCCCTCTGCCTCTCCTGCCCTCCAACTTTCCCGCTGCCACGATGTACTCCAGTTCTCTCCTTCTCATCACATGTCTCTTTCTTTACATTCTCAACAGAAATTAGCCAAACAGCCACTGAAACAAAACACAGAAGCCGCTTTAACACGGAACCGACATTCGCGTGCAGTTAATATTAGTTGGACTTGATATAAGAAAATAAAAAATGCAACCATAGGTATCCACTTGAAACGTTTGTTGGTTATCTTATGGATTGTATTGTTGCTCTTGCCCAAAATGGACGCTAGGCACGGTGACTGTTTTGAGTCGTGGCAAATTTTTAGCAATTGACAGGCGGTGGCCGTTGGATTTTTCTCCCTTTGTAAACTGAAAAGATATAGTTTTGTCGTCCAGCTACTGAAGTTAGGTGCATGGCTCGACACTGCGAGCTGCGGATTTTATTTAAAAAAATTTTCGGCTGTGATTAAACTTGATCGCGCGCGCAACTGCTGATCTGTTTGTAACTCCTCCTTAGGTCGATGATGAGCTGCATTTCTAATGGTGGACTATTTGTTTTTGCACTTTTTATGGCTGCTTTATGCTTCTGTTTCGTGTGTATGCTGGTGGATATGCTGGGACTGCAGTCGGTGTCAGTTTTCCCACAAGGGACAACGATGGACGTTCTGTATGCTTAGTGATGGCACAGGAGCGAAGCAACCAAGGGGTGACCCGTTTGCTATGAAGCTGAAACTAAGACTACAGGATTACAAGACCTCACTAACAATGTAACCTTCTAGCTTCAACTTACTTGTAACCTGTCGGCGCTTTGACCTCTCCGCAATCTTGAATAGCCAAATTCTGCCAGAAATATAGTTTAAACAATACACTTTACTCTCTAAATTACGCATTTAATACAGTTTGCTGTAGACCAGCAAGAGCACAGTTTGTGATACACAAGGAAAATCAGTTCTACTGTGTCACCAGTAACTGAGCTGGTAATGAAACATCAAGAGAACCAGATGTAGGACTGATAAGATGTGTGGCAGTTTGGCATTATGTTATGGGGGGGGGGGGATTATTGACTACTTATTCTTGACAGAATATATTTGTAAGCTAGTCGCCTTGGCGGAGCGGCTAGACGCTCGCTTGTGGGTCGAAAGGTCGTGGGTTCGACCTTGGTTTCACGTCGACCCAGCCTTGAGTGGGTACCAGATGCAGTCCCGGGAAGTAATGGCGGCCGGCGTGATGCTGACCACATCACCCATCTTGTGCCAATTGGTCTTTTAAAATATAGGTCTAACCCTGTATGCCCTATACGCCTAGAGGCGTGGAAAAAGGTCCTTTAATTTTTTTACTTTATTTGTAAGCTGATTGTAAGCTATATATTCTGGACTGATACGATAACATGGTATAGGTTTCTAACAGGAATACAAAACACTTTTTTCTGACAAGGGTCTGTTTAACATTGATGACATCATTCGCCTGCCGTAGAAAATTAATTTAAAAACAAGCCTCCCAAATAAAGCGAAACTAATTAATTTCGGTTGCCTGGGCAAGGCCAGATCAAATGATTTCCCTGGCCTTGTGCGACTTGCAGGCCTGTGGTTCGAAATGAAACTCCAGGAAAGAAGAAAAGCTCTTCGAATCTTTCCAAGTCACCAAGAGCGACAGCACAAATAGATCATCGTGATCTGAAGAGAGTAATGCTGTGGGGAGCATAGGCGCCTGAACATGGGGCCTCATATCTATTGAAACCCTCTGTCAATTGTATTTAAACCTCCTTCATATTTCAAATATATTTTTTATCTCTCATTACAAATAATAATAATAATAATAATAATAATAAAAATAATAATAATAATAATAATAATAATAATGAGAGAGTATTATTATTAATGCTTACTCAAACAAGACTCTGGTTCCTCAAGGCCCCAGCCGATTGAAAATTTAAAAGGGGTCACAGGGACTTTCCCCATCCCCATTGTTCTCCCACAGTGTCAACGCCCCTGACAGGAAGTGTTCAACGAACAACAGCTACAGCCAAGGGAAAACAGCAAGCGCACTTTCACCTACCCACAACAGCAAAAGTCACCTCCTGCCTATTGGGCAGTTCCTTTCTCAAGTGCTTACCTTGAACGCGGCGCTATAGTTCTCAATGGCCTCAACAAACGTTTTGGCGTCAATAAACCCTTTAGTGCCACTACCGCAGCAATGATGATGGTAGCAGCCGCAGTCGCCGTCCTTCTGTAGCCACGGGTTCCTTGTGGACTTCATGATCCGCATGGGATGTCCCTCCAACAGCTCGTAGTTCAGGGATCGGTACGCCTTCTCGGCTGTGGAACACCAAACAACAGTTCCAACTTTAAACTGACGCTTGCTTCAGGGCTTGAGTCTAAATTTACTCCAAGTGTACTTAAGTGAAGGACCCTTTTCAACGGCCTAAGTGGTATTAAGCATATAGGGCAGGACCTATATATTATAGATCAATCGGCACGTGGTGAGTGATGTGGTCAGCACCACGTCAGCCACCTTTACTTCCCAGGACTCCAGCTGGTATCCACTTAGGGCTGGATCGAGCTGGGAACCAAGGTCATTTAAAAAAACAAAGTCCGACTCCGTCAGTACCCGAACCCAAGACCTTCCGATCCGCAGGCGAGCGTCTAGTCTTCCCACTTCCAATTAGTAATATTTAAAAAAAATGACCTTTGCTCTCAGGTCGACCCAGTTGAACCTGGCAAATTCCACCCCCTTCCGTACCCCCACCTTCCTCTTGTTTGTACCACCCCACCCCCTCCACCCCCGTCAAATTAGTCAGTCAGGTCGACCCAGTCTCAACTGATAAAAGGAAATGTCGGGGGAAGTATTGGCGACTGGCAACGACCCCAGAACACGTAGAACTGGCCCTAGCCCTGAACCACATACACGCAACCTCAGCCTAGGTATCAAAAGAGACTCTTTTCGAAAAAAAAGCAGTACAACGTGACACCCCTCTGACCTAGATCAGACTGAAAAAAGCGTGTAGATGGGCCAGGAAACGTGAACAGGTCCCTAATATTAGATACCCGGTTTGCCTCCGACGAAGGCACACACAGGACACCAGTAACAGCTGAATCAGCTCCGTTAGGCCGGAATTTCACTTCAGACATAAATGAGTTTGATTGTGCTGTCGGCCGGGCCTCTTGAAAATAGCATATTAGACAGACAGACAGACAGACAGACAGACAGACAGACAGACAGACAGACAGACAGACAGACAGACAGACAGACAGACAGACAGACAGACAGACAGACAGACAGACAGACAGACAGACAGATAGATAGATAGATAGATAGATAGATAGATAGATAGATAGATAGATAGATAGATAGATAGATAGATAGATAGATAGATAGATTAGATAGATTAGATAGATTAGATAGATTAGATAGATAGATAGATAGATAGATAGATAGATAGATAGATAGATAGATAGATAGATAGATAGATAGATAGATAGATAGATAGATAGATAGATAGATAGATAGATAGATAGATAGATAGATAGATAGATAGATAGATAGATAGATAGATGGATAGATAGATAGATAGATAGATAGATAGATAGATAGATAGATAGATAGATAGATAGATGGCTGAATATATGGATGGATAGATGGATAGATGGACAGACAGACAGACAGACAAATGGATAACAAAATATAACCGCGAAACAAAATACAACCGCACACAAACACATCCGAACGGTTTATATTGATATTTTACAATATTTTTGTCGCGTCTGTGGCTTACACGTTGCGAGCGCGCTTCGTAATGCCGGGATGCCGGGCTCGATCCCAGCTGCAAGATTTGCATCTTGCATTGGTTTTGACACTGGTATCGAGAATCCGACCGAGAATGCAATGGCAAACTACAGGACGTAAATTTGCCTGGAAAACCAACAGCGAAAAAATGTTGGGGTTTGATCTGCAATGCCCTTTAAGGGAAACGCAACCAAGTTTTTAAAATTGTTAATAGAATTGGCATCCATACCTGGTGAGAATGGTTGAACTTGCAAAGAACAGGGTGAAAAAGCAGATGATTTTTTGTTGGATACTGAGGAGGGACTCTGAACATGTATGGGAATGTCTCGAGTGCAATGCTGTCGCATTCTGATTCATTCATCTATCCATTCATTCAGTGATTTATTTATTCGAGTAATATTTACCTTCTGCTGGGTTTTCGAAGTTGACGTAGGCGTAACACAGAGATTTGCCAGTCACCCAGTCTCGGCACAGCTTCACCGATGTTACCGTGCCCAGGGGAGCAAACTTCTTGTACAGAATCACCTAGAGGTTACATCAGAGAGTGAGTTTTGTTAACTTGTAGAATTTTTTCTTTTCTTTTCTTTTGAACGATTGTTTACCTATCCATAACCATGGATTATGCTTGGCTTTCTGTGATGAGAAGGTGGAGGGTGGGGAAGGAAATGGACGGTTCCCACAACAAAGTTTTTTTTCAACAAATGCTGGTTTTACCACAAAGTATCTTTTATAGTAGCGCTGAAAAAAGTGATGTTTATTATAACGATCTGGTCGTCCCCGTGTGGGATGAAATGTTTAGTTCTTTTGAAGCCCCACCCTGGCTTTGGACCGGGTCCCTAGATATAGCCGGGCCTGAAATATGGCCTAACGGCTGAACGCGGTTTCTGGGACCTCTCCACGGGTGATCCTCATCCTTATGGTGGCACTTTGTGTCAGCGGGTGTTTATCGCTTGTATGATGTCCTGGTGGGGTACAACTTACCTAAAGTGATGCTTAGAATGATGGTGCCAGTTGGAAAAAAAAAAACGTTGTATTCAACACAAGGGAGGGAGAGAGCTGAATATAAAAGGAGAGAGAGAGAGAGAGAGAGAGAGAGAGAGAGAGAGAGAGAGAGAGAGAGAGAGAGAGAGAGACGAACCAATGAACGACGCTTTTTTTTTGTCAAATGGTTTAGAATTGGGCGCGCAGGCCAGTCTTATATACTTCTTACCTAGCTTCACACATTAGATACTTCAGAGAGAAAGAAAGAGGGAGAGAGAGAAAAAAATAGAATGAGAAAGGGAGAGAAAACACACACACACACACACATAGAGAGAGAGTGAGTGTGTGTGTGTGTGTGTGTGTGTGTGTGAGAGAGAGAGAGAGAGAGAGAGAGAGTAGATAGCGCTTGCTTTGAAAGATATGTCTGTAATGTCAGATTTACGGCTTACTCTAAGTTGCTATTGGAATACTGAATTGAGAATCTAGAGACGTAGATATAAGGAAGAAAAGGTCTATTTCACAGAAACAAAATAAATTAACTACATCAACGTTGAAGAAACTGGGGGCGAAATAAAAATAAAAAATGATGGAGGAGGGATGGGTGGGGGTGGGGGTGGGGGAAGGGTAGGCGGGGGGAACGGACGGACGGGCGGGAGAGACACGGCAAATAGTTTGGGCTACATTAAAAGAAAAAAAATCCCCTTGTGGCGTCGACTACGACTATTTGGGAGCTTCCTTATTTGTTTTAGTATCCAGAAGCCATGAGTTGTTAACCCTTAGGCTCGGTATTATGGATTTCGCAACCTTTCGGCCATGAATCCATTATAAATACTGTAAATCTGGGAGAAATGTGGCTTTCCTGCCTACCCCCGGGATTAAACCCGGACCACAATTAGTTCGTCACCCGGTCTCCGCGCAGTCCGGTTTAGCCAACTATGCTAGAGAGCCGGGCTGGAGCTTCCTTCAAAGTCAGAGTACATCTGCCAAAGAAACAAGGAATCAACAGTGTGCATCTAAATGAGTCATACCTATGAAACGGATGTGCACGCAACAGTCAGTTTAGGAACATGACTAGAGCTTTATGCCGCAGTTTACAACTGGTAAACGCTAAGAAGAAGAGGAAGATGAAAAGACGCTAGCTACATGGTCTTTACTAAGCAATCTTGGCATTTGCTGGCTGTTGAAACAATTCAAGGTTCAGTAATTTGCTGTTTCTTTCAAAACAACTGACTTTCTATATCAGTGTCGACATCAACCCAAAATTGTATGCTGCCAACTTCACCTCAACCTACTATGTATCTCGGAATTGCAAACTGCATTCGCAACAAGACAAGACCTATTTAAAAAAAAAACAGTAAAAGCCATAATGGAAGGAAATTTAAGGCAAGCAAGTAAAAGACGATACAAGTGGGAGGATAACGTTGGTAAACTGGCGGACATCATTCCCAGAAAGTGCTTGTAAGCAATTTTCGGTCTTTCCAAATGAAACTGTTCTGTTGTTCTATCTGTTGTTCTTCACTCGGTCTGCCTTGTTTACTTCGAAAGAAAGGTAACAGTTTGTGTACAACCAGTATAACAAACGTTATACGATCAGTACCTCACTTACGTTTAGCAGAAGCCTTCAGATCGACACTTTATAATTAGAATGTCATTTTACTGGAATCGATTGAGCAAAATAGAGGGAGGGAGACCTCAAAAAACAGAAAAGAACAATGTAACCTTGTAAAAAAAATTTAAAATATTTTCACATTTGGAAGAAGTTTTCCAGCAAATAGTCAAACAGTGATATATAACTAGAATGTTTTTTCATCGGAACCCACTGAAAAAAAAAGAGATGAATTGATACCTCAAACAGAAGAAGACAATTTTTTGGGCGTGTATTGTTAATTCCGCGGCGTCCGTGGCTAAGGCGTTGCGAGTCTGACTCGTATTCCAACGTACCGCGGGCTGCGTGGATTTTTATCATGGTATGGGACGTCGCAGGTCGACCCAGCCTCAAATGGGTTTGTTTGTTTTAGTATCCAGAAGCCATGAGTTGTAAACCCTTAGGCTCGGTATTATGGATATCGCAACCTTTCGGCCTTGATTCCATTGTAAATATCGTAAATGACTGAATCTGGGAGAAAATGTGGCTTTTCTGCCTACCCCCGGGAGTGAACCCGGACCACAAGGAGTTCGTCTCCCGCTCACCGCGCAATCCGGTTTAGCCAACTACGCAAGAGAGCCGGGCCCTCAACTGGGTACCAGATGGGCTGTCCTGGGAAAGCAAAGACGGCCGGCGTAATGCTGACCACATAACCCACCAAGTGCCGATTGGTCTGTAAAAATATGGGTGCTCTTCCATATGTCCGATGCGCCTAAGGGCGTGTAAAGGGATCTTTACTTTTTTACTTATAGTAAATACCTCATTCACATGTGGCAGAAGCTCCCCAACAAATAGCGAAGCAGCGGACATGTTTGCCAACATGGCTGGTATGTCTTGGGTCGTCGACGTTGTAGATGTCATAACGTACTTTTTAGGTCTTGGAGAGGCCAACGGTTGACTGGAGCTAATGTTGTTGTCTTTTCATTCCAGCAATGAAAAAAGGCAAGAACGTTATCTCACTAAATTGCTTTCTTTTTTCAAATAAAATTTATGACAAAGTCCAAGTTTTGAGCGCTGTCCCTTTTTCGGCAGTTGTTTGTGTCAATAAGTGAAGAATGACGTCAAATTGCTCTAAGGTAACCAGCCTATTTACATTAGTAGAATTGCGTCATTTTTCTTTTGAAAGTCAGCTAGTGCTCTCTAGTGCGCCGGTTGGAGGGGACTGATTTCTTGGTGCAAAGTTGATGTCACACAATCCTTTGGAGAGACGAGTGATGAAGGATTTTCCGTTACTTACTTATATCCTTTCCCAGATGACATTACAGGACAGTCAAACATTTAAGAGGGTGGTAAGACCGGGTTTCCCTGCTTCCTGAGTCTTTTAACCACCCCAAAACATCTA